ATGAATTCCCATGATTTGTCACATGATCCCTTAAGTGAACCAAGAACACATGATTTCAACTTTATTTCTCCTTTTGTTCATGATGATGAAGTGCATGCTCAAGTTGATGCTAATGGTGTGTTTCAATATTCTTCATTATTTACCATGCCTTCTTGTGATGTGCTTCATTCCCTTGATAATGAATCTCATATGCTTGATTGTGCCCCCTCTCCCCTATTTAATGAAAATTCTTATGTTTATAATGATGATGATCCTACGTTTGGTTGTGGATCTTCTTTTACTCTTGATCCTCAAACCACTTCACCTTCTCATTCTCCAAATTTTTGTGATCAGTCTATAATCCCCTATAGTCAAATTCATGAATCTTTGAGGGAGTTGGAGATGAATCCTAACCTAAGGCCCTTGGAGAGACAAATGATGGAAACTTTAAGGAGCTAATTGGTGATGATTAGAGAGCGCGAGGAAATTTGTAATAAGGAATTGAAAAGAAAAGAAGAGTTTTGAACTTCTTCGTTGAGCAAGACGAAATGAATCGCATGGATTAAATTTCTTGTCTTGAAAATAATTTATGCATGATGCATGTTCTTAGGCCAGGAGGCTAAGGACAATTACATCATGTGACACAATAGATGAAAGAACTTAGGTCATGGAGCTAAGAATCATATATGGTGTAAAGAAACGATCTTGAACTTGACTTAGGTCTTGAAGCTAGGCACGTATATAGATGAAGTGATTATTGCATAATGAACGTTGCTTAGGTTAAGGAGCTAAGAACAATATGCTTTTGTATGATTACAAATCATTGTTATATAAATGTTGTTCAGCACATTATGCGACGCATGAAACAATGAACATTGCTTAGGTCAAGAAGCTAAGCAAGTATACAATGTTTCTTTTAATGAATGTTTCTTAAAAGATCATGAAGCATGCACGGTAGGGAAACAAGATTTCATGATAAAAGGTTCCTAAGGGAAAGCTGATATGGCTATGAATGTGTGAAAGTGATACTAGGTGAGGCTGCAATGGCTATGGTGAGGGTAATAGATGTGAGAAGAGTCGAGATGGTGACTCTTTAGGATAGGTAGGCTAAATGATGTGGGTTCAAGCCCCCAAGTCTAGCTCTAGATGGATAGGGTCATAGGATTAAGTATTAGATATTCTTCGACTCGATCATGCATATGAATGTGGCCGCACCTCAATGTGAGGTTGCCTACGTATCCGTTAGGAATCAGGCCGAACATAGCTCTAACCGAACTTTGCACAAGTGTGTGTACACCTAAAAGAGGTCTTTCAAGGGTTGTAATGTGGTTAAGTTGATGATTTAAGAAAGAAAGGGGTAAAAGGCTCAAGACCCGAGAAAAGCCCCCCAAGATATGCAATTATGTATTGGACTTTACAAGTTTATTTTTTATTTATTTTTTTGTTTTGAATTTCTTTTCTTTTGTTTTTATTCTTTTGAATCAATGTAGGCAATCTCACATCATGCAGTCCATCACTCACTTAGCATTCATGTTTCTCAGGCACGGTACCGAGCACTCGATGAGAGACGCAATTTGAGACGTGTTCATATTAAAGACATTGGAACACTTGCCTTTAGACATTGTTTTATTGTTGCGTTGCTGCTTTTTTTTTTTTTACTTGCTTTTTGAATGTTATACAATTACACATCTTCCAATCCCAGGGTTAAGTGAATGTGGGTTGAAGAAATGAAGGCCAAACGTTAGAAGAGGCTCAAAATGGTTGATGAAGAAATGGAATGTGATTGAATGGTTAACAGGGAATGACAGGGTTGCAAAGGTGCCTCAAGTCATTGGTGTGGTGTACCTTGTATTTGGTTCGGTAATTGATTTTTTTTTCATTTTTTTTTTGAGAATGAGTGAATGAATGAAAAATTCTATGATCGAGATGTAAAGGAAATTTTCTCATTTTATTAATGGAAAAGGTGAACGGAACACATGAAACATATAAAAATTCAAAATGGAAAACATATGATAGACATAAATGGGGGAATGGAGATGCATGATAAAGAAAGAAATCATGAAATCTTGCACGAAGGATCTGCTGTGCGCCTTGTGTTCATTACTTCTTGTCGCCTAGAGGGACAGGAAGTTTGTTTGCATCCACCAACTCTTGAATGACGTCCTTCAAATTCTAACATTGCTCCGTAGTGTGGCCCCTTCCTTGATGGTACTTGCAATGGGCATTGGGATTCCATTTGGCGCTCCTTTCTTCGATTTTGGCTCTAGAAATGGCCCAATAGGTGTGATCAAGCCTTGACTCTAATGGCGATCAAAGGCCGCCTCATAAGTCATACCTAAAGGAGTGTAAGTTCTATTCTTCTTGGGCAATGGAGCATCAAGAGCTAACACTTCATTGAGATCAACTTGGCTTATATTGTTTGTAGTATTTTCGTGCTTAGAAGACAAAGAATAAGGATGGTCGTTCTTCTTGTTTTTCCAAGTGTTATTATTGTTACTACCAGCAGTCTTTATTAGCTCATCCTCGATATTGATGTCGATGTCATATACGGCTTCAAAAGTGTTCAAAGGAAGAAATTTGAGATGTTCCCTATACTTGTGATTCAGATTTTGAATAAAAAGGCGAACCATCTCTCTTTATTTGGGAGGATCTACCAAGAGTGAAGTCATTTCCCTCCACCTGTTCAGACAAGCGGTGAAGCCTTCATTCTCTTTCTGTTTGAGAATGGAGAGTTCACGTTCAGAAGTTTTAGTTTGAATGTTACACTTGTAACGATTCATGAAACTATCGGTGACATCTTTCCAAGTCGCAGTACGCTTGGCATCTAGGGAATAAAACCATTGTTCGCAAGCATGCTCTAAGGAGAGAGGGAACACCATAGGGAAGAGTGTTACGTCCAATACCTTGAGAGCCATGGTTGCAGAGAACGCCTTCAGATGGAATATTGGATTGTCACTAGGCTTGAACTTTGGAATATCAGCAGTGGAGAACTTTTTAGGGAGTCTGTCCTTCACATCCAAAGGAGTGGGAGGTCGTTCCACATAAGTGAAATCCTCATAAATCTTGCTCATTTGCTCTTTGATCTTGTCCATTGTAGCCACAGTAACATGGTTTTGCTCTACTGTGTTGACTCTGGTAGTGAGTGCTTGTAACATGTTAGACATTTTCTTAATGGACTTGTTAATGCTCTCAATATCTTCCTTAGTGGCCATTGGGACAAATTGAAAGTAGTTTGAAGGTGATGAGTAATGTGGAGATGGTAAAGTTCTCTTTAAAGTCTAAGAGGTTGATGCAGTAATGACTCGTACCGTACCAATTTACCCGTACCATATTACACATTGCTCAAGATAGGAAAAAAATTCATTTGAAAACAAGTGAGAATAACTTCGATCCACTCATCTTTTATTATGACGGAAATGGGGTGCATGAACCTAGTATACGATCATAAATGACATGGTGTATGAGTGTATGACTGGAGTAAAAAAAAAAAAAAAGAAAGTGTGTGGACTATACTTGACTCTTGAGTGATTAAGTGATGTTATAAGACTCGTGGTATGATTGTATGGCTAGACATGTGAACAGTAACAACAATGACTGAAGCGAGATCCAAATTAACCAGAAGACTTAAAAAAGCTGACATGACTTATTTTCTAGGCACCATGACACGGCAAACTGTACCGTGTCACGGCACAAGCTGCCATGACGCGGTAACCATTTCCAGGTTTTTTTTTTTGGAAATTCACCGTGCCACGGTGAAAATTGTCGTGACACGGTAAACATCCCCGTGGCGCGATGGATGCTGACATGGCACGGGAATTTTTTTTTTTTTGTTGGAAATTCACCGTACCACGGTGAACTTTCTCGAGGCACGGTGGATGCTGACGTGGCACGAGATTTTTTTTGGAAAAATACACTTTAATAATCCCAACTTTGCCTGCTTTACTTTAAATAATCCCAACTTTCGATAATTCTGCAAAAATCCCAACTTTCACCTCAATTTTCTTCCAACAATCCCAAATCGGTTAACAAAAGTCAACAACCTAATATTGTAGGTTACTTGACACATGTCGATATGTGAGTGGTTCAAAAATAAATTATACAAAAAATAAAAAATAAAATAAAATAAATCCAGCCTAATAACCAGTGAACCACCCCTTCCCCAGCCTGAGCTCATCCCCGATAACTACCCCCACTGCCTACCCCACCGTCGAAACCAGCTCCGTTCACATCGAGTTGATCAAAACATCCCCCTCCCCAACCCGCCTCCAAAACCACCCAAAAGTCGAAACCCCACCCAAAATACCGTAAAATCACTCGAAATTCACCTCAAAATGAAACCCCTACGCACCCTGAAACAACCCTAACCCACTTGATGCTTCTACTGACGGTGAGTCGCTGAAGGTGTCGGTGTTTCTAGTAAGAATACGTTAATTGGCACCGAAAATCCGTCAATCTGGGCTGATAACGCCGACATTCCTCCAAAATCTGGTGAATACAGTGAACTCCTTTAATCTGCGGCGAGTAAAGCTGATTGGCGCCGATACTCCGCCAAACACTACTAGAAATTCCGTGGTTTTTGGACGCTTTTAAGGCTTGTTTTCGACACAAAAGCGTCGAAATTTTTTTTCTCGACGCTTTAAAAAAACATCGGAAAAACGTGAGTCGAGAAACTTGTTGGACACTTAAATGCGTCGCCATTCTCGACGCTTTTTATTGTCCAAATTATTGTACGAAGCGTCGAAACATCTGTTAGTTCGCGCAATTTCTTATGTTTGGCGACGCTTTTATTTGTCTATAATCACAAAATTGCAACGCTTTATTTGTCATATGTTATATATCCTCTATTTTATCGACGCTTTTTTTTGTCCATATTTTTAAATTTAGCAACGCTTTTTGTAGTCCTTATTCATTGTAAATGTATCCAATATGCGGGAATGTTTATTGACATTAAAAAGTGACAAATAATTATATTATTACTAAGAAAATAATCAAAATATACCAAAAATAAGCTAGATAAAAGATGCTAAAAATCAAGTTATATTTAGATATAGTTAAGTACCAAAAATTACATCTCTAAAGTTAAATTATTCATAATTCTTTCTTATATTAACCGCATAAACACTGATAAACAAATAAAAATTACATACAATATGCTTATCTACTATAACATGTTTAGATTAAACAAAAAATAAGAAGACTACTACTCCGTATTGTTTTATATATTTTGCAGCTTCTTTTTTATGCAAGTGTGTAGCTAATCTGGTAAGACATTCTTAGTGGAATAACTTGACACCGCAATGCTTCTGTATATACTACTTGACTAGATATTAAGGCAGCCTCCTCCTTTCAGGACTCGGATCAACACGCGAAACTCTGCTCCATAGCTGCAAGAAGTTTTACTATACATCAAAACAACTAGTGAAATTACAAAGGCTGCAAGGTTTGGAAGAATACATTATACGGGAATTTTTACCTGTTCAAGAGTGGAAACCTATGCAATTTTATGAATCCAGCTCTTAAGCTTATCTAGGTTGGGTGGCCTCTTATAGTCTTGTGTCTATGCATTCGCACTAACAAGCAATCCAAGAGGTAAAGGATAAATCACCCATACATTTACTCAAGTTTTTAGTCCCAATCTGCTGAGCCGGATTTGGCTTCCTGCAAAACAACCCTTCTTAAACGCAAATCAACCCTGCCATAAATAAACCAGTACATAACACAAGAAATTGAAGAGTGATCACATCTAAACTTGCATATAAAGATTAAAAAAAAAAGTAAACTTTTACAAAAAAATTATGAGGTTAATAAGTTGGTTTACATCTAAATTATCATGCTTAGAATATTTAATGTTCTTCCTCAACATGCTTGGATAAAAGGGAATAAAGTGGCAAGACCAAAGGACTAGTATATACCATCAAGCACAACCACATATTGAAAGAGTGCATTAAAGTGGAAATGCTCTACCAAACAAGGAGACATTAAAACACATTTGGATGATCGTAAACATAGGCATGCAGACATTGTAATGAGAGCAAACATAGGTCAACATTTATCATATTTATTTGAACAAGGTAGGGAAAAAACCAACAGAAATTGTGCTTGATATAGTTTAAATAATACGAGTAGATTATACAAACGAAGAACGAACACAGTGCATTACTCGCCTCTATAGGATACCAGTGCCAAATACATTGTACTCCAACCTCATGAACTGCAATGAAGGCTAAAAGTTGTCCAAAAGTAAAGAAGGCAGAAACATCACTAATAATAATCTAGACGGAGCAGAGATCAATAAAATTCTAACTGGTCTATAATGAATGTGGAAAAGACTAAGGTAAAACCCACTACAAGACCATCACCAATTATATCAAGTTGAAATATAAAATATACACCTATAAGGTGTGCGACAAACTTGAAAGAGAAACTATCAACCTAAAACAAAATAGCAAAACTCGATTGTTACCTTAATACTATGAGCAGGTTCACGAAGCTCTTAGTTAACTTTTTAATTGCCAAATATAGTTAAAACGGAGTATATAAATTCGATTCCACACGTATTGGTGTTATTGCAATTATAAAACCAAAATTCATATGAAATTTGTATAAAATATATAACATCGAAAACAAAAATATATAATCGCAGAGCATATCTTCACCATAAAAATTACAAGTGATTTTGCAGCATTATTACACAAGATCCAAAAAATGATAGGTGATTTCAAAAGACCAATTCAAGAGAAAAAATATTTAATCGCAGAGCATCTCTTCACCATAAAGATTTTTCTATATGAAAACAGTTATAGAAAATTTTTCACATGATAAATTAATATAAAAAAATATAGAAAATATATCACAATCAAAATAAAATCCTGCTAATAAACCAGATTTTACCAAAAAAAACATCCAAATGTTTTATTAAACAGAAAATTTGCCCAATTGAATTATCAATTAATTAACAACAAAGTTCTTTAACACTAAATCGGAAAAACAAATAAAACTAAAACAAAATCATAAAAAATTGATGAAATTCATACTCAAATTATTAGGGAAAAACAATAAATTTAAAGAAGAGAGAAAATACTCTTATGTACTAGTGATAATTAGGTTCATGACATCCAAGTTAATGTGTGAAAAGTTCACGAACAATCACAATCCTTCATTTCTTTTTCCCTATCTTCATCATCCATGATATATTAGGCGAGATCTGTAAAAGGAATTGAAAAAAGAAGTAAGAAATTAACAACCTAAAATCAAAATCATTGATAAATGAGAGAAAAAAAAACCCTTGATAAACACAGATTAGGGAAAACCTCAAAATAGCCAAATTAAAATACAAAATTATACAATTATACCATAAAACAAATCAAAACGAGTGATGTTAGGAGTAAACTACCCATAAAATTGAAGACTACCATGAATGAAATGTCGATTGACTTTAATAGACTATGAAAAGGAGATGTGAAGAAAATTTGAACCTGCATATTTGCGACAATGCCTATCTACCTTGAAGATTTCAGATCTTGTGATCATACGAAGTAGAGAAATTCATTAACCATAATTTGGAAGCAAAGAATGAAAATTTGAGGAGTGAGACTAGAGACTCGTAAGAGAGAGAAGATGTAAAGGTGGCGGTTGAATTGTAGGATTGAAAAGGGATAACCCTAAAACGCTGGTTAGTGGCTACAATGTATATCACGTTCATACGTAACTATTTTTATGTTCTCGATGGGGAAAGTTGTCGAGAAAGTCAAAATGACACTTAAAAGCGTCGTTGAAACACGGAATCCTAAATTTAGTTGTGACGGTCTTCCATAGTGTCGAGGGTATAGCTTCGAGATTATATGCATTTTGTAGTAGTGAAACTCCAGTAAAAATGATGATAAATCATAATGTGGCGCCGGAATCTTGCTCAATCGCCGGTGAGGAGGAAGTGCTGGATTCTAGTTGGGAATGGAGAGGAGGAGATCGGAGGGAGTACGGCGAGGCTGGTGTTTCTGTTGATTTTTCTTTTTTCTTTTGTTTTTTAGTTTTTATTTTTATTTTTTAGATTTTCATTTTTTGGACCAATAAATGCTCAACACGTGGCATATTGGAATTTTTTAAAAAAATTAACCTTTTAAGCAGGTTGCCTGTTTTTAGGATTGAAGAAAGAATACACAGGTGAAAGTTGGGATCATTGTAGAATAATCAAAAGTTAGGATTATTTAAAGTAAATTGAGAAAAGTTGGGATTATTAAAGTGTATTTTTCCTTTTTTTTTGCTGGAAATCCACCGTGCCACGGTGAAAACTGCCGTGACACGTTGGATGCTGACGTGGCACAACATTTTTTTTTGGCGCTAATTACTAAGTGAGTACGGTCCATTGGCAATCATTAGTCATAAAATAATCCACCATAGACAAAGAAAGATCGTTAAGGTTAGGATCAAAACGACCAAATATACACACATAAAACACGTAGGCACAATGATGCAAAGAATAGTTCGCAACCTAAGGTCAATATCTATGTTCGACTATGATTAGGTTTATTTGGTGTCAAAAAGGGTACCATGGTTTAGAGTTTGGACGCGTTAGCAAGGCAGCCTCCCTTGAGGGTGTATGCCAACGGGCGGCTCATCGAGTTCGTGATGAAATCGAACTCGACTCCATGGTTTGGGTGGATTTAATAACTCGGATGAACCCTTATTGCCATGAGCGTTTTTGGGTTGATAGAGGTTAAATCCCCCGGGGCTATGACGCATGTAGAACACACACATTTTTTCAGAAAATTAAAGGAAGTTGACTGTGAGAAGAGGAAATAAGCCACCGAAGTGATTTAAGGATTGTCGTGACACGGCAGAGAGCACCGTGTCACGATGTTGCACACTGTCTGACAGTGTACTGCACCGTGACACGGCAGATTCTGCCATGGCGCGGCAGTCAGAAAATCTGACTGGTGCCCTACTTTCCTTCTTGAACAATCAAGTTATTCGATTTTTCCTACAGGGCAGACCTAAATGCGACGTTAAAACGTCTATGCTTATGCAATAATGCCAAATTAATCACAGGAATATTTTTCAAGAATCTTACAAGTCTCATCCACTCATCTTAATTAAATACCAATTACTCAAATTGATAAATAACCAAGAATCCTCCCCAGTGGAGTCGCCAAATTGTAGGCGTCGTTCGAAGTGCACCTACATTAAGCATGTTGTGAATATGCTTTGTGATTAGGGGATTTTTATCCACCAAGCGCCGTTTGACAAGTGGACCAACCAGGTTCCGCCACGCGTCCTCCACGGACCACTTAAGACACGCCACGTGTCCACCCATGCCAAATGGGACAACCGGCCATCAAGGCCCATTTCAGTCTAGAAGCCCGATCGGCCCTAGGTTTACCTTAAACCTAGAGAGTTGCACGCTTCCCAAGGCTATAAATACTCGATTAATCCTCATTAATCAAGGGACCGAATACATTACGGAACACACTAATAACCGGCTGATCTCGCTAGCAAAGCAGATTACCTACATTAAATACTCTCACCTAGAGAGACCTTATTACTTTAATTTCTGTATTAATTACTCCTTAATCGGGTACTAACTTGACCGTTGGAGGCGGAGCTCTCAGGAGTCTCCGTTATTTTGCAGGTACAGGCGTCCGGTTCCAGTCTCGGAATTGTAACTCTCCCGCAGGACATCAGAAAACCCCGAAACATTTGGCGCCGTCTGTGGGGAGAGTACTTCAGAGATGGCATCCAAGTCTGTACCGACCCCAGAAGAGAGGCGTCCCCTAGACGACCCTCAAGTTCAGTCGGACCATGATACCGAAAGTGAATTTGAAGTTGAAACTCATACAGCTCCAGACGGGACCCTAAGGGCCCGCCGTACCTGTCATACTGAAATAAGGGAACGGGAGTATCTTCAAACAGGAAGCGAGCCAGCAGGCGCACCGCTTGCTCGGCAACAGCCGACTGATGGGTCTGCTCCCATCACAAGGAACGAACTCATGACCTTCATGAGGGGATTCAAGGGAGAGATCCAAGAGTTGATCAACAAAAAACCGCCTGCTTCAGTCAAAGAGCAGGCGGCCAAAAAACCTTCCACTTCACTGAAGAGGAAGCCAGTTCAAGGGCGAGAGGCGACTCCCCATCCTAAATCTAAGAAGCGGGAGCCGTCTGCTCTTGATTTCACAAAACTCCGTTATCCTACGGGAAGTAGGAAACCGGTTCGTCATATTCAGGCGGACGGGTCAAAGCAAACGTTCACAGATGCTCGGCACCTGCTAGAGCAGAAGAAGAGTGACCGATTATCAGAGTCGGCCTCTACTTCAAATTTTCTGGACAGTTTGCGAAATGCCTCGATGAGGCCAACTCAGTCGTACCATGAGAGTCAGTCAGGCGGCACCTCCCGTCAGTCTGGCTTTCATAGTGCGCAGGCGGTACCAAAATTGCCATTTGTGCCGCAACAACAATATTTTATGCAGCCACCTCCATTTGGTGGACCTGCAGCAAAAAACGTCCAACCTATGGACTGGCAGCTACGGCTGCTTAGACTTGGTGAACAGCCGTCGGCCTTCTCCAAGGAAATTACTGAAGCCGCTCAGCCGGCCAAAGTAAAAAATGTTTTAGTAGGCGCCTATGATGGCACTACTAACCCGGAAGACCATCTGATGGCATTCACCAACCTGATGTACCTTCAAGGGTTGGATGATCCCACTTGGTGCAAGTGTTTCCCAGCAACTCTCAAGGGAATTGCACAGCAATGGTTCGGCAACCTGCCGACTGGTTGTGTAAACAGTTTCAGGACGCTTGCTTACTTATTTGCCTCCAACTTTGCAATGAACATCCCTGCGAAGAAAACGACCCTTGATTTGGGAACAATTCAGCAGGGTGAAAAGGAGGGGCTTCGTTCCTACATCAGGCGGTTCAACCTGATGAGAATACAGATTCAAGGGTTACCGGATGAGGTAGCTTATACTGACTTTTTTAGAGGTCTCAAAGACGGGTCTACCTTCAAATTTGATTTAGTTCGAAAAAGGGTGGCGACTCTTCAAGAGGCCTTGATTGAAGCAGAAGCCTATATACAGGCGACTGATCTGTGTACAATGAAACAGTCGGACGGGAAGAGGTTCGACAATAGAGAAGGACGACAGAAACAGTCGTCCAACAAAGATGAAAAAAGAAAAGGGGTCTGGGCGGCTGATTCCTCTAAACAGCCGGCCAAGAAGAAAAAGGAATTCAAACCATACTCCCCAAAGTATGTGTTTAACAAGGATAACCAGTTTATCCTAAAAGAAATAAAGGGACGGCTCTCAATTGAGAAACCGCTCCCCATGAAGGGTTCTGCGAGCAACCGGAACCAAGACAAAATCTGTGCTTATCATGATGACATTGGTCATCACACCAACGACTGCATTAGTCTCATGCGGTACCTAGACCGCTTGGCTGATCAAGGTGATCTTGACACTTATGTCAAGAAATCTACGGGGAATACTTCCTCAAAAAAGCAGTCGGCCAAAAAGAATCAACAGGCCGACAGTTCCGATACAGATGATGCAGTCGTCTACACCATTGCAGGCGGCTTCTCAGGAGGCGGCCCCACTATTAGGGGCAACAAAGATAATATAAGGCGGTTAGATGTAAATTCCGTTCACCAAGAACGACCGTCCAAATATACATTTCCTGAGATTGTCATCACTGAAGAGGATCTAGGAGGAATAAGGGGGCCGCATGACGACCCTCTCGTTATTGAATGTAAAGTGGCCAACCAGAGAGTTGGTCGAATCCTCATAGATACTGGGAGCTCTTCAGATCTCATCAGCAGCAAATGTCTGTCAAAACTGAAATATCAGACGGACTGCATACATCCGGCCTCCCACCCTTTAATAGGGTTTGGAGGAGGAGTCGTCCACCCACTGGGACGAGTTGATCTACCCGTCCGCCTGGGCGAAAAAGGGGAAGGACGACACATGGTAGTCCGATTCCTAGTTGTAGAGGAACTCTCTGCCTACAACATGATTCTGGGTCGCCCAACCCTGAATAGTGCCAAGGCTGTTATAATCCCGTCACTTATGCTGCTTAAGTTTGAAAGGGACAATGGAACAGTCGGCTCCCTAAGGGGAGATCAGAGGATGGCCCGAGAGTGCTATCTCTCGGATGTCAAACCCACTGCTAAGGCCACTGGGTCAAGTGGAGAAAAAACAGACCTTGACAATGTCAAGGAAAGTGCGCCTGTTCAAGAAACAGGCGACAGAAAAAGAAAGGCGTCCCAGACAGAGTCCGCCAGAAAGGCAAGAAAATAGCAATCATTGGCAGAGGACCGGCCGGATGAGTTCCGCCCTCAGCCGGCTGGTGAGCATACGGACCTGATATTAGACGACTCCCGCCCTGACCGAACAGTCAAAGTTGGGACGACTGCTCTGAGAAACCTTGGTGATGACTTTCACAACCTGTTGAAAGAATACAAGGACATCTTTGCATTTGAAGTCCATGAAATGCCAGGCATTAGTCCTGATCTGGCAGTACACAAACTCGCTGTGGATCCGAAAAAGAAGCCAGTACGGCAAAAGAAGCGGAACCATGGTGAAGAAAGAGGTCAGGCGGCCGCCGCCGAAGTCAAAAAATTACTTGATGCAGGGTTCATTCGGCAATGTTACTTCCCAGATTGGGTTGCAAATGTGGTACTTGTTAAAAAGCCGAATGGCACCTGGCGAATGTGTGTAGATTACACAGACTTGAACAAGGCGTGCCCCAAAGACAGTTACCCTCTGCCCAAAATTGATAACCTGGTCGACTCAACAGCCGGCCATGCCTTGATGAGTTTTATGGACGCCTATTCTGGTTTTCATCAAATTCCTTTGTGGAAGAAAGATCAGGAGAAGACGGCCTTCGTCACTGATCAGGGATTATACTGTTATACGGTCATGCCGTTTGGTCTTAAGAATGCCCCGGCTACATTCCAACGAATGATAAACACAGTGTTCTTTGATCAGATTGGGAGAAACGTCGAGGCATACATTGATGATATGATTGTTAAGACTAAACTTCAGAAAGATCATCTGACGGACCTCCGAGAAACTTTCGCCACACTCAGGCGGCACCATGTCATGCTCAATCCCAAGAAATGTGTATTTGGAGTTGAGTCTGGGAAATTTCTCGGATTCCTTATCAACCAGAGAGGAATAGAGGCGAACCCTGAGAAGGTACAGGCGGTCATTGACATGCAGTCGCCTCGTACCGTCC